AGGGACAGTGCTCAGGCCCTGAGTTCAAGCCCTGGGGTGGCGGGGGGGGGGGGGGGGGGGGGGGGGACTAAAAATCAAAAATAAAATAAAATCTGTCTCCAGATCCTGCAGAAAATGGAGTGTTTCCTAAATTCAGTGTTACTGCAGGGACTTTGAATTTTCATAATATTCTGAAACATAGTTGTTTTGCTGTTACTTTGGTTTTGTTTTTTTGTGGTTTTTTTTTTTTTTTTTTTGAGATGGTCTTGCTGTGTAGCTCAGGCTAGCCTTGAACTCAGTATGTAACCCACTGGAATCAGACCCACAATTCACCTCCATCTGCCTCTGAGTGCTGGGATTACAAGGTGTAACACTCCAGTTCTTAAAAGTGACTTTCAAATGAAAGACCAAAACCAACATGTAGTATGACCTCCCTCAGAACAGTGTCAATTATTTCTTTTATTCTGAAACAATACTTTTGGGGGTTAGAAATTCTGCATCATCAATAAGAGGATAAAAAAATCTAAAAGAATGGTTGATATTCTACATTTTAAATAAGAATTCCTGTAAGATTTGAAAATATGGTCTATGATTTATATCATATTTCTAGAAACCGGATCAAAGCTTACTATTATGAAGGTTCCCCAGTATTTATCCTAATAGCTTTAGGTTTTTTTGGTATTCATTAGTTTGGAAAAATGAAAAATGAGATGAAGAGAGTACAATTGGGACAGTCCTCAGAGTATGTAAATGTAATGCTAAGATAAGGATCTTCACACACAGCCTGTGTGTGTCCTACCAATTCCACCGAAATGCTTCCAAGAAAACACTTCTAGAAACCAAAAAGGTACTCATTCTGAAGAGAGTTTAAGTCCCAATCAGACAATTTTATTAGAAGCTGGGCATGGTGGAGCATGCCTGTAGTCCCAGCTACTTAGCTGAAGAAAGAGGATTGCTGGAGCCCTGAAGTTCAAGGCCAGCCTGGACATTATAACAAAACATCTCCAAGGAAGCTGAGGGTAGAGCTCAAGAGGCAGAGTATTTGGCTACTATGCCCAGGAGACTCTGTATTCAATTCCGGGCACAGTTCTCCCATTCCAAATAAAAGTCTTCAGAAACCTGCTCATTTGCTGCAGTTCTTAAATACGTTGCAATTTAGTTTAGCTCTATTGCTACAGGCTGCCTTTTACTCTTATTGACATCCTGATCTAACAACACAGGATTCAGAAACATAACTTACTTTCTTAACTCCTCAATTCTTTGTGATAGTTTGTGATAATGTTTCAAAGCAACTTCAGCTACAGAAATCAATACACAATAATTGAGTTGCTGAGTTTTAAGAAGTCTATATGCCTAGAGAGACAATAACTTTATCAAAAAACAATCTTGGCCCAACTTGCAAATTTAAAAAGGAAAGATTACATTTGAAGAAAAACTCTTCTGAAGTTGAATGAGAAAACTTCAAATTGAAGTAGCTAGCATACAGAGTTTTAGTTGAGAGAGAGAGAAACAGGTAGTTAAGAGTAACTTTCGCTAGAAGCAAGCTCATCGAGGAAAAGGGGTAGGGACAGGAAAGGGACGAATACTGCAGTTCTAGTGGCCTCAACCCCTTCTGAAAGCACGTGTTCTGATTGGACATTAAAATATTCTGATTCACACTGGATGTCCCAAGCGAAGAAAAAAAAAAAAAAGGCCAACTGACCAACTGAAAATATTTAAAGAAAAGAAAAAAAAATATGAGACCTCATGAATTAAATGATAGGATGGATTTTAAAAGAACAATCAAGACATTAGATGACTTTTACCAAAAAAAGAAAAGAAAAAAAAAAACAAAGTAGAATTAAAAGAATTCATCTTTGCACGTTGTGCTCACAAAGGGAGAGGAGGTCCCATCAAGCCCTGCAGAACATAAGAAGCAGGCTGCTTTTGCTCAGGCATCAGGAGAAATAGGCACCGAAGGAACTACCCTCAGCTTCTTCTACATCGTGTCGAGGAAGGAAAAGCAAAGCTGCAAAATGCTGAAGGTTTTAGAAGTGTAACGGTGCTTAGGAAAAACCACTGGTCTGGTGGTGCAGCAGCCCCAGGGTTGAGACACACGCTAGGCTTCTAGGAGAAGAAAAATAGAAAAGGGAGGAAGGAGGAGGAAGGGGAAAGGAAAGGGCGGGAAAGCACAGGTCATTAGTAAATAGCAAACGTTCAACATCGCAAAGATGCTCATAAACCCCTAATAGTCTCTTCTCAAGTGGAGCTCTTTAGGACTGAAATGGGAAATTCCCAACCAGATACTCAGTGATGGTCAAGTCAGAATCAAACTCACACCATGCTCACAACACATGCACCCTTCACCCCCCACCCTACTTCCTCCCTCCTCCAATGAAACTTGCAGTTCCCAGTAAACTATCTGCTTTAAGACAGCGTACAAAAAGGTCAAACTCAGAACCCAAATAAGTCAGATGTGAAAACTGTATTATCCCAAAGGATAGAGAAATAGCCTACAACAACGACACAAAAACAAAAAACCTGCTCTCCTAATATCCCTAGGTAGGTCTTTATTTTATTTTTTATTTTTTTGGCTGTGGGGTCTTAACTCTGGGCCTGGGCGCTGTCCCTCAGCTCTTCAGCTCAAGGGTAGTGCTCTACCACTTGAGCCACAGCACCACTTCTAGTTTGCTGGTGGTTCATTGGAGAATAAGAATCTCACAGATTTTCCTGCCCAGGCTGGCTTTGAACCAGGATCCTCAGATCTCAGCCTCCTGAGTAGCTAGGATTACAGGTGTGAGCCACCAGCGCCCAGCCACACTGCAAACTTTTATACCCACTTTCTTCCCAGTATTATTAAGATTTGAGATAGCTGCATTAAGTCACTTACAGTTAAATTTGGCATCTGGCTAGGGAAGAACCCTAGCCTAGTTTCGGTAGTTGCTTCCTTCCTGGGCCACAATGGCTTCCATTCTAGTTAATCAAATAGATCCCCCTCCAGCCTTTCTGCCCCTTAGCTAAAGAAAGTGGAATCTATTTTTTTTTTTAAAGTTTGTTATTTGAGCTGCTGCTTTTTCCATCATTGGAATATTTGCAAATCATGCAGATGACTTTGCTTTCAAAGCAGTGGTAGAAACAGTATTGTATCTGATTATGATTAGCCAAGAACTTTTAAAGGAAGATATACAGGCATTTCCAATTGTCTCTACTCTTTAAAGTAAAGGGTATATGATTTATAAGTTCTAGGTAAAGTTAACATTCACAACCAATAGAATCAAGAATCAATTCCTCTGAGGTACAAAAATATATACCACTTTTTTTTGGGGGGAGAGGGGGGTCAGTTGTGGGGCTTGAACTCTGGGTCTGGGCACTGTCCCTCAGCTCTTCAGCTCAAGGCTAGTGCTCTACCACTTGAGCCACTGCACCACTTCCAGTTTTTCTAGTGGTTTATTGGAGATAGGAGTCTCATGGTCTTTCCTGCCTGGGCTGGCTTTGAACCGCGATCCTCAGATCTCAGCCTCCTGAGTAGCTGGGATTACAGGCGTGAGCCACCAGCACCCAGCTACCACATTTCTTAAGGTCGCCGAATAAGGAGTAGATCCCTGAATAACTGCTATTGCTAATAGGAGGCTTTTAGGATGCCTTCAAAACACCTTCAAAAATCGGAGCTGGGAATGTAGCCCAGTGCTAGAGTGCTTGCCTAGCAAGCATGAAACCCTGGGTTCAATTCCTCAGTACCACAATATAAACAGAAAAGGCCGGAAGTGGTGGTGTGGGGCTCAAGTGGAAGAATGCAAGCCTTAAGCAAAAGAAGCTCAGGGACAGTGCCCAGGCACTGAGTTCAAACAAAGAACTCAGCAATCTTGTGGTGGTTCAAGAAAGACCTTTCATGGCTTAAGTATTTGTGTAAGAATTGAAACATAAAGTGTCTTCTGCTGGCTTCCACTGGAATCATCTGAATCAAATATTATACCCCAGAGTAAAAAGCACACTGAGCTGAGAGCGCATGTGCTTGAGCAGCCAAAGCCAGCTCATTTGGGTCAACAGTGTCAGCCTGATCACAACTGCAAATGAAGTGCAGCTATTTATAAAAAGACAACACATGGCTCTCACACATGCTCCCTAAAGAAAAGATTTATATAAGACATTCCCCTTGGGCAGATTCCTGATCTGGCTTTTGCTCACTACAAAGACCTTGGAGCAGGTGGTTAGTTAGCTGGTTATGAGGGAACTCACAGGAACTCAGTACAAAAGGACTATCAACGTAGTAATAATAATAGGCTAAGAGTTAAGAGACAAATTTCAAAGCCAAAAGTTAAGGGAAAGATAAAAGAACAGACTGAGAGCAAAATACAAAGGAAAGCACTTGTAAAGCATTGCTCACACGTTTCCTAATATTGGGCTTTGGAAAGTACACTTAGTGTAGTGTAGAGTACATTCGGGGTTGCAACTTGCTTTAGCTTTAAGGAGTTGTAGAGGCCAAATGTTTTCTGTGTAACAATAGGATGCATCTATAAAGAGTACTTTTGATGTAGATTCAGTTCTTGTGAAATGCAACTCTAATAAACATTCAAGGGATATCAAAGAAATTTATTCTTCCTTTGGCACTGTAAAAGGAAGTATGGCAGTTAGTCAAGTGTCAGCAATTCATGCCTGTAATCCTACTACTCAGGAGGCTGAGATATGAGGATCTCAGTTTGAAGTCAGCTCAGGCAGAAAAGGCAGTGACACTCTAAACTCCAATTAACCACCAAAATGCCAGAAGTGGAGATATGGCTCAAGTGGTAGAGCATCTATCTTGGGGTGGGGGGGGTGGGGGGGGAGCAAGAGCATGAGGCTCAGAGTTTAAGCCTTAGAACCAGAACCAAAAGCAAAAAGATTTGTGGCAGACACTCTGGGGGTCTACATACCTTCAACAAAAACAACAATGTCCTTAGAAAAACTTAAATGCTTCCATTAACAATCCTCCTCAAAAGAGCTATCAAGGTGTTTAATTGTGAATGTTTCATTTATATATTTGGGGGTTCCAGGGAACCACTTACCTGTAGTATTTATCTCTTCTATTCCATGATCACCATTGGCTAGAACTGTTGGTTTGGAAGCTGAAGTACCTGCAACAATTACAAAAAATAAATTACCAGGCTGGAATGTGGCTTAGTGGTAGAGTGCTTGCCTTCCATGCACAAAGCCCTGGGTTCCATTCCTCAGTACCACATAAACAGAAAAGGCTAGAAGTAGTGCTGTGGCTCAAGTGGTAGAGTTCTAAACTTGAGCGAAAGAAGCTCAGGGACAGTGCCCAGGCCCTAGTTCAAGGCCCAGAACAGGAAGAAAAAAAAAAATTTACCCACTGAAAGGAATAGGAAAATGAAAACTGGAGCCAACTACCATTTTGCTAGTAGAATTTTGGCTATTCTTCACTAAGTTAGCTTAAAATACATAAAAACTATTCAATAGTTAAAACTTCAATAAAAGATAAATGAGAAATAGAACTGAATTATTCATTCTCACTGCACTATGGTTGGTCTGTTAAGTACCACTGTAACATATCTGGGGTTAGGCTTTGCATATGGAAGGTCTTAGTTTGTATTTCTGTACAGGGATTTCCAAACATTTAACAGTATTGATTGAAAAGATTATACTGAACTGCTTATGCAAATATTCGATGGTGTGGAAAATCAATTATAAGTATGTCTATTTCTGGGTTTTCTATTCTGTTCTTTAGCTTTTCTAGCTATTTAGCCAATACCACACTATCTTAATTATTTATATTATACTAAGGCAAATAAGTCCTCTAACTTGGGTCCCCACCACCACCATGCCCCAATCCTGGGGCTTGAACTCAGGGACTGGGTGCTGTCCTTGAACTTTAATATTCAAGGCTAGTGCTCTAACACCTTGAGCCATACCTCCATTTCTAGCTTGTGGTGGTTACTTGGAGATAAAAATGTTTCCTTGGGCTGGGAAGGTGGCTCAGTGGTAGAGCGCTTGCCTTGCATGCTCAAGGCCCTGGGTTCGATTCCTCAGCACCACATAAGCAAAAAGAAAAAAGCCAGAAGTGGCGCTGTGGCTCAAGTGGTAGAGCGCTAGCCTTGAGCTGAAGAGCTGAGGGACAGCGCTCAGGCCCAGAGTTCAAGCCCCACGACTGGACCAAAAAAACAAAAAAAATGTTTCCTGCCTGGGCCAGCTTCAAACCATGATCCTCAGATCTTTTCCCCCACAGTGGCTAGGATTACAGGCATGAGCCACAGGCACCCAGCCAATTTGGGTCTTTTTTTTTTTTTAATTTATTAATTTACTTTCGTTTCTTTTCTGGTACTGGGGATCGAACCCAAGACATTGAAAATTGCCTTATTCTATGCTTTTCTTGTCAGAATCAGTTGCTGAATTATACCAAAAAGGAATCTTGATGAAATATGATTTGCAATTCTGCCAATATATATAAGCCAATTTGGAGATGTACAACCTTTTCTGAGAAGCTCTGACTACATCTAACATTTAGACAATCTGCCTACCTCTCTACCAGCCTGCTAAACAAATAGTTCCCAATGAATCACTGTCAAAGGATGTTTTTCATAATTAGAGTGAAAATCTAGAGCCAGGTGCTGGTAGCTTACATCTTTAATCCTAGCTAGTTTGGGAGGCTGAGATCTGAGGATCGAGGTTCTAAGCCAGCATGAACAGGTGAAATCTGTGAGACTCATATCTCTACTAAAACTACCAAAAATGCCAAAAGTGGAGCTGTGGCTCAAGTGCTATCCTTGCAGAGAAAAACTTAGTAGCCAGGCCTGCCAGTGGCTCATGCCACTCATCCTAGCTACTGAGGAGGGCTCAGATCTGAGGATTGTGCTTCAAAGCCAGCCCAGGCAGGAAAGTCTGTGAGACTCTTATCTCCAATAAACCACCAGAAAACTGGAAGTGGTGCTGTGTCTCAAGTGGTAGAGCACTAGCCTTGAGCTGAAGAGCTGAGGGACAGCGCTCAGGCCCAGAGTTCAAGCCCTACAACAGAAAAAAAAAAAACTTAGTTCCAAGTTCAAGCCTGAGGACGAGCCCAATAACAACAAAACATAAGATTTCAGAGCAGATAAGAGGTTTGCCAACTTATCTTCCAGATAAAATTTGTTAAATTCCAGTTACTGGAACATTCTAGATTATTGGGTAAATCCTAACTCAAAAGATGTAATACTCCCTTTTGTCAATGACTTCCCAGAGAACCTTATTTCACATATTAAAACTTTCTCAGAAAAACACATAGCATGGGACTGGGGAGGTGGCTCAGTGGTAGAGCGCTTGCCTTGCATGCCTGAGACCCTGGGTTCGATTCCTCAGCACCACGTAAGCAAAAAGAAAAAAAGCCAGAAGTGGTCCTGTGGCTCAAGTGGTAGAGCGCTAGCCGTGAGCTGAAGAGCTGAGGGACAGCACCCAGGCCCAGAGTTCAGGCCCCATGACTGGACCCCCCCCCCCCAAAAAAAAAAAGAAAAAAGAAAGAAAAACACATAGTACTGAAAATATCTTTTTTTGGGGGGGGGGAGGGAGGGCGGGTTGCTCATGGGACTTGAACTCCAGGCCTGGGTATGCTCCCTGAGCTCTTTTGCTCAAGGCAAGCATTCAACCATTTTGAGCCACCTTGTTTTCTGGTAGGTAAGAGTCTCACAGCCTTTCCTGCTTGGGCTGGCTTTGAACTAGGATTCTTGGATCTCAGCCTCCTAAGTAGCTAGGATTATAGGCATGAGCCACTAGCGCCCAGCCAAAATTCCACATTTAAAAAAAAAAAAAAGTAACACTCTCCCCTGAGACATAAGGCTATTCAAAATTACTTTTTAAATTCTTCCTCTTAAGGCTATTCAAAATTACTTTTTAAATTCTTCCTTGTCAAGAGATTTCAGGTTCCCACACCTGGAAAATCAACCCAGCAAAGAAGGGAAGTAGCAAAAAGCTAAGAGGCATGTGTGCTATGAGGAAGAGAGACAGAACTCTCTAGACAAAAGCAGTCTCAACCTTCAGTTTTAAGTCTCTTCAGTATTGTCAGGCACATGCACACACCGCCCACTAGTGGTCAATTTGGTTGTTTGCAAAGTGCCTTGAAAGGGCTCAATCAGTTGAACAAAGAAATTCTGCTGTGTATCTTAGTTATCCTCATTACTTAAGCCCCTTCATCTCGATTAATGTTTGTCAACCTCATATGTGCATGTAAGTCATCTGTAAGGCCTGTTAAAACATATTTAAAGGGAGAGGTGACATTGACAAAGAAGCACTGCACTCATAACTGACTTACAGAATTATAACCTATTTGTACAACTATTAATAACCATTAAAATATATATAATATGTATAAAGACATAGCTGAATATATATTTATATTTTATATATATTATATTTTTGGGGGGTGGGTCTCATCCCCATAGAGTCCTGATTCTGTGTGTGCTTAAGACTTAAACTTTGAAGCCGGCACTGGTGGCTCATGCCTATAATCCTAGCTACTCAGGAGGCTAAGATCTGAGCATCGAGGTTCAAAGCCAGCCTGGGCAGGAAAGTCTGTGAGACTCTTATCTCCAATAAACCACCAGAAAAGCAGAAGTGGCGCTGTGCCTAAAGTAGTAGAGCGCTAGCCTTGAGATGAAGAGCTGAGGGACAGTGCTCAGGCCCAGAGTTCAAGCCCCACGAGCGACAAAAAAAAAAAAAAGACTTATACTTTGATTGCTAGGAAAGTGACTTAGTGGTAAAGTGCTGGCATGCATGAAGCTCTGGGTTCCATTCCTCAGTACTACATAAATAGAAAAAATGGAAGTGGTGCTGTGGCTCTAGTGGTAGAAAGCACTAGCCTTGAGCACGGAGAGGCTCAGGGACAGAGTCCAGGCCCTGAGTTCAAGCCCTAGGACTAGCAAAAAAATAAGAAGAAGAATTATACTTGGGGGCTGGGAAGGTGGTTCAGTGGTAGAGTGCTTGCCTTGCATGCATAATAATCAATTCCTCAGCACCACATAAGCAGAAAAAGCTGGAAGTGGTGCTGTGGCTCAAGTGGTAGAGCGCTAGCCTTGAGATGAAGAACTCAGGGACAGCACCCAGGCCCAGAGTTCAGGCCGCACAACAGACCAAAAAAAAAAAAAAAGAGCTGAAGAGAAAGGTCTTGTCTGTTTCTGAAGAAAAAAAATTAACTAAATAATACACACAGAAAAGACTTACAACAATGACAAATCTACTAACAACAAACACCCACAACATGTACATTATACATTATGAGCTTGAAATACCATTTCACACTGTAAAAAAAAAAAAGCAAAAAATAAGCTGTCTTGGGGAAATAGATGTTTTCTGGTTTGAAAGAGGAATTGTAGCAGGCCCTGGTGGCTAACACCTGTAATCCTAGCTACTCAGGAGGCTGATACCTGAGGATCACAGCTTAAAATCAGCCCACGCGGGAAAGTCCATGAGACTCTTATTTCCAAGGGACCACCAGAAATCTGAAAGTGGTGCTATGGCTAGAGTGGTAGAGTACTAGCCTTGAGCTAAAGAGCTGAGGGACAGCTCCCAGGCCCAGAGTTCAAGCCCCAGGACCAACCCAAAAAAAAAGGCCTTTCTCAGTGCAAAAGTTAAGTCTGACAATGTATTACAGTAAGTCTACATTTTATTAGATCATCTAGAAATGACCGAGGTATAAGAGGGGATGTTATAGCCTCACAGTCATACAGTAAAGGGTAATGAGTCTCCTTTCTTGGATTATAACAGAGAAATTTAATTAAACAGAGTTTTACTAGTCTATACTAAAAAGCTCGGTTTCCTTAACATTTCTAAAATTGTGACACAATGTGTAATACCAAATTTACACTCTAAATACATACATCCAGGGCTAGAAATGTGGCTTAGTGGTCGAGTGCTTGCCTTCCATGCATGGAGCCCTGGGTTCGATTCCTTAGTACCACATACACAGAAAAGGCCAGAAGTGGCACTGAGGTTCAAATGGTAGGGTGGTAGCCTTGAGAAAAAGCATCTCAGGGATGGTGCCCAGGCCCTGAGTTCAAGCCCCACGACTGGCAAAAAAAAAAAGAACAGAACAAAACAAAACAAACCCACATATATCCAATTAGGCTTATGTACTGACCTTCAGCCTGGCTAGTATCTGAGCCTGATTTCTTCTTTTTCCCAGTTTTCTCATCAACATCCATGAGGGGAATATATTCCCTTTTTCCAACTGTTTCCCCCACAACATCATCATAGGCCTCAGCCTCTAGGGTGGCAATGAAGTCCCGCTTTATCTCTTCCTCAATTTCTGGAGGCGGCTCTGTTAATGCATCCGCGAGACTCAGGTCAGCCATTTTGCACTGCAAATGCCTGTGGAAAACGCAGAGGTGTTTGCTATGAGGACCAATGAATAGAAAAGAAAAAACTTAAGAAACTAGAAAATTCTAGATCCATAAGATTCATAAGATGAGGAAAAATGAAAGCTCAGAAATAGTTTGCTTTTTCCTTATATCTCCAGGAGGAAGACAAAGCAAGAGATACTTTGTTATTTTTCTTAATAAGGAAAATAGTTTATCCAAAGTAAGATTCAAATCAAGTTGTTTGATTTCAGGTCACATACCTTTTCAATTAAACCATTTATCTTCATTTCCAAATCAGGTCCTAGAATAATTTTTTAAAGAATATACAGAAAGGGGGCTGGGAAGGTGGCTCAGTGGTAGAGTGCTTGCCTTCCATGCCCTGGGTTCAATTCCTTATCACCACATAAGTAGAAAAAGCTGGAAGTGGTGCTGTGGCTCAAATGGTAGGAGTGCTCAAATGGTAGGAGTGCTAGCCTTAAGCGCAAGGGAGGGAGGGAGGGAGGAGGGAGGGAGGGAGCCAGGCACCAGTGGTTCGCACCTGTAATCCCAGCAACTCAGGAGGCTGAGATCTGAGGATCACGGTTCAAAGCCAGTCCAGACAGAAAAATCCATGAGACTCTTACTTCCAATAAACCACCAGAAAACCAGAAGTGGTACTATGGCTCAAGTGGTAGAGCACTCCCCTTGAGCTGAAGAGCTGAGGAACAGCACCCAGGCCCAGAGTTCAATCCCCACAACTGACCCAAAAAAATAAAAATAAAAGATCATATTACTAGCCAGGGGCCAGTAGCTCATGTCTATTATTATCTGTTGCTGGGCAACAGTGGCTCATGCCTATAATTCCAGCTACTCAGAAGGATGAGATCTGAGGATCATAGTACTGAGGCAGCACGAGAAGGAAAGTCCTAAAGACTTTTATCTCCAATTAAACATCAAAAAAGCCACAAGTAGAGCTGTGGCTCAAGTGGTAGAGTGCTGGCCTTCAGCAAAAAAGCTCAGGGGAGTTCAAGCTCTAGTAACACACACACACACACACACACACACACACACACACACACACACACACACACACACACACACACACACACACACACACACACACACACACACACACACACACACACACACACACTGGCCTTCAGCAAAAAAGCTCAGGGGAGTTCAAGCTCTAGTAACACACACACACACACACGGTGTCCATATTCCCCGAGTTCAAGCTCTAGTAACACACACACACACACACACACACACACACACACACTGGCCTTCAGCAAAAAAGCTCAGGGGAGTTCAAGCTCTAGTAACACACACACACACACACACAAACACACGGTGTCCATATTCCCCTCCTCATTTGCAGCAAAATTCCAAACAGCAAAGATAATGAAACTTAAGTATGTCATAGATGGACACTATAATTAGGGTAGTATTCTTCACAGTGTCCCACAAAAGTCCATGTGTTAAAGCTTGGTCCCCAGCTTGGCACATTCCAGCCCTAGTTTTTTGAATTCAATAATCAATCCCACAAAAGGCCTGTTGTTTGTTTTTGTCAGTTACTGGGTCTGGGCCCTGTCCCTGAGTTCTCTGCTCAAGACTAGTGCTCTACCTCTTTTGAACTACAACGCCACTTTCAGTTTCTGAGTGGTTAATAAAAAGAGTCTCAGGGATACTTTTCTGCCCGGACTGGCTTCGAACCATGATCCTCAAATCTCAGCCTCCTGAGTAGTTTGGATTACAGGGGTGAGCCACTAGCAACTGGCCTGTTTCCTTGCTAGGCAACAAAGAGGCTAAAATACTTAAGTTGGGTCTTTCAAGGCTTTTAGGAATGGCTTATCTGGCACTGTTTTTTTTTTTTATTATTTAAATAATTTTGCTATGTCAGTAAGATATTTAGGTTAAGGTAATTTAAGATTACAAGGGCAGGGCTGGGAAGGTGGCTCAGTGGTAGAGCGCTTGCCTTGCAATGCATGAGGCCCTGGGTTCGATTCCCCAGCACCACATAAGAAAAAAGCCGGAAGTGGCGCTGTGGCTCAAGTGGTAGAGCGCTAGCCTTGAGCTGAAGAGCTGAGGGACAGCACCCAGGCCCAGAGTTCAGGCCCCACAACTGGACCCCAAAAAAAAAAAAAAAGATTATAAGGGCAGTTGGGCACTGGTGGCTCATGCTGGGAATCCTAGCTACTCAGGAGACTGAGATCTGAGGATAGTGGCTTAAAGCCAGCTGGGGCAGGAAAAGCCATGAAACTCCTGTCTCCAATAAATTACCAGAAAACTGGAAGTGGAGCTGGGAAGGTGGCTCAGTGGTAGAGCGCTTGCCTTGCATGCCTGAGGCCCTGGGTTCAATTCCTCAGCACCACATAAGCAAAAAGAAAAAAGCCGGAAGTAGCTCTGTGGCTCAAGTGGTAGAGCATTAGCCTTGAGCTGAAGAGCTGAGGGACAGCGCCCAGCCCAGAGTTCAGGCCCCACAACTGGATCCAAAAAAAAAAAAAAAACTGGAAGTGGCGCTGTGGCTCAAGTGGTAGAGCACTCCCCTAGAGCTGAGGGACAGCACCCAGGCCCAGAGTTCAATCCCCACAACACACACACACACACACAAAATAAGGACACAAGAATTTAATCAGAAAATATTCTCTATATACTTCTAACTAAAAATGCTTCAGGACTTTGGATGTAACATAGTATAAGAATGTTTGCCAAACACGCACAAAGTCCTGTGTTCAAATTTCAAAACTAAAAATTAATAAAATTTTAATGATAATAAGCCAAAACTGACGATAAAATGGACTAGAACCAAGAGACAACCCATGGAATAAGAGAAAAACTTTGCTATTAAACAGATAAAGGATTAATAACCCAGAATATACAAGGAACTCAAAAAATTAAACAGCCAAGGACCAAAGAATCCAATTAATAAATGGTGAGCAAACTGAACAGTCAGATCTCACAAGAAACACAAATGACTAAGATATACGAAGAAATGTCCAACATTCTTAGCCATGAAAAAAAAAAAAAGACCAGGTCCTGGGCTCACATCTATATTCCTAGCTACTCAGGATGATGAGATCTGAGGATCAGAGTTCAAACCAGCCCAAGCAGCAAAGTCTGTGAGATTATCATCTCTAATTAACCACTAAAAAGCAAGTTGTGAAGCTGTGGTTCAAAGTAGTAGAACCCTATCCTTGAGTTCAATATATCCAAAAGAGAGTAAATTAATATACCACAAAGAAAGCTGTGTAAATATGTTTATTGAAGCATTGTTCACAAAAGTCTAAGCCAGCAATACTTGTTTTGTCTTTTGTTTTTTTCTTTTTTTTGGGGGGGTGGGGGGGAATTGGTTTTTTTCTGTCAGTCGTGGGGCTTGAACTCAGGGCCTGGACGCTGCCCCTGAGCTTCTTTTGCTCACAGCTAGCACTCTACCACTTTGAGCCACAACTTCACCTCCGATTTTTGAGTGGTTAATTAAAAGTCTCACTGAGACTTTTCTGCCAAGGCTGGCTTTGAACCCCAATCCTTGGATCTCAGCCTCCTAAGCAACTAGGATTATAGGTATGAGCTACCAGCACCTGGCTCAGTCTTACTTGTGTTGCTCCTATATCAGCTTCCTGATTGTTGGGATGTGCACTATCATGCTGAGCTTACTTTTCCCCTTTCTAAGATACTTCATGAAAACTATTATTACCAGTTAACCTTTGATAACTGTTATATACTAAAAATAAATGTCTATATTTAAAGTTTCGAGGTCAAAGAAAACTTGAAAAGACATCTGTGTCATCCTTAATAGTATACAATAAAAGCCATAAATGTATTTCCCCCCAAAATAATGTCAATTCTTATATAATGCAATCTGCTCAAATGTTTCATAATAAGTACAAATACAGATGGGCTCTGGTGGCTCATGCCTGTAATTCTAGCTACTCAAGAGGCTGAGATTTGAGATCACAGTTCAAAGCCAGCCCAGACAGGAAAGTTCCATGAGACTCTTATCTCCAATGAACCACCAGAAAACTGGAGGTGGTGCTGTGGCTCAAAGTGGTAGAGTGCGGGCTGAGAAGGTGGCTCAGTGGTAGAGTACTTGCCTTGCATGCATGAGGCTCTGGGTTCGATTCCTCAGCACCACATAAGCAGAAAAAGGCCGGAAGTGGCACTGTGGCTCAAGTGGTAGGGTGTTAGCCTTGAGCTGAAGAGCTGAGGGACAGTGCCCAGGCCCGAGTTCAAACCCCACAACCGGCAAAAAAAACCCACAACAACAACAAAAAAGTGGTAGAGTGCTAGCCGTGAGCAAAAGCAGCTCAGGGACAGCATCCACGCCCTGAGTTCAAGCCCCACGACTGACAGAAAAAAAAAAAAGACTATTATCTCAACAGCTTGGCCATTCTTTGTCACCACACATAAAATGAAGTGCAACCTAAAACAAATTCTACTTATAAAAAGGATTCTATGAAGGCAACGCTAATAGAGTGATAAAGTCCTGGGTTTAGGGGGGGCGGGGGGGAAGCCTGTTTTCAATATATAAAAGTGATCACCACTATTTTATTCAATTCCAAAATATGTCCAAATATAATAAATTCTTTAAGTGCTATATAAATTCTTTAAGTGCTATAAAAAATTGTTAAAACTTGTTCTCCAAGTGTTTCAGCCTACAAAAAAAAATTCATGTATGAATTCCATGTCACAATTACAGAATATTTCAAGGTACTTAATAATTTATATGACACCAAATTATCCTCAAATCTGGACTTCAGATTAAAATAAAACTATAGCTTTGTGAATAACAAGTCTTACTTCTAAAACCTTATCTCACTGACCATATTATCTTTCCTTCTATCTGTATAAACAATGAAATTAACTTTAAACAGACTTGTGAGTTGGAGCAAGAGAATGTAAAAACTGAATATGCAGCTTTCCTATTGGTTTAATCTGACACTCGCTGCGGCCTTGAATGAGTCACCTTGCAGAGCTGAATTCCCTAAATCTGTAAAATGAGAGTGTTCAGTGATTCCTCGGGTTGTTTAT